CTCAATTCATGGAGAAAACAAACCCAAGTTATATCATAATAAGTCCATTTGTGACATCTACAGTTTGAAGTAGGATCAACTACTTATTATGTTGTTAGATGAAAAAGGCCTTGCAGGGACCTCCCTGCATTTTATGATGTTTAATGTCAGTAACCAACAAAATACTTAGTATTACAGTTGTCACTGTAATCCTGCCCTTCTATAGTGCTTTACACTCTAATATGGCTACAAAATATATGAGTTACTGGTTGGTTTAATCCAGCTTGTAGCATCCTTCAAAACAACACAGAGTAAAGCTGTGTTGTCCTTGACAACCTCTGTTTGACATCATGACCAGAATCAGGAAAGTCTGACCTTTTCTGTGAGCTGGTCTTTGACATTGCTGGAGAAACAATCAATGGTGTGTCTGACAGCTTTAGACCCCACAGACCCCCTGAAAGCAAGCAGAACAAAGTAATGCTACTGGCAACCTGAATGATTACCTCTACCAGCAAGCTTGCAGTTTTCTTGCATCCTGACTCAGCCTTTGAGCTTTTCTAAAGTAAACATCATTGCTTCAATATTTATCTATGATAGATATGTGTGAAACACAGCTGCTGTCAATGCAAAGGCGTTAATAAAAATGACTGTAATGTGTACTTAAAGCCTAGATTACAGGCTACAGAGAGGGTCATGGTGAATGAGTGTTGACTTTTGGAAATTTACCTGTACTGCTCACAGAAGTCAAGGAAGGAATCCAGCAGCACCTCCAACTCTGTCCCTCTGTGTTGGCCTCGTTTCTTCCTCCTCTGCTTGCCTGTGCTGGCCTGTTCTGGTTCTCCAGATCCACTGCCTTCGAGGGGAATCATCTCCATTATTTAATCACTCTGAGCAATAATTTTTTAAGGAAAAATGTCGATTACAATTAAATTACAGTAATATTAAATAAAGCACAGGGCCAGGCTCACTGAGATACTTTTCCCAGTGATGTGGTTAGAGTCTGTTTTGGTTCTTTCTGATGAAGACCAACTGTGACTGCATCAGCCACACATGGGCAAAATCAAGCCATACATTCACCTCCTTAGTTTGGATTCCAGTTATTTTAGCAATATACTTCATTAATGTCTCTACTTTAACCTAACAATGATATTATGAAGTGCGCACATAGTAGCATTGTGTGCTTATACTGGCTGCTTCCTGTCTGGGCAAAAGGTGTGGCCAGGTGCAGTTATGTTATTTTGTGTTTGTTTCCCTCTGTGAGTAAATGGTTTGGCCAAACCACTGTAAAGGTTACCATCCTGTGTCTTTGTGCTCAGTTTGTGAGTTAAGTTTACTCATTTAAGTTTCTGGAAGTCACTTTTTGAGTAGTTATGCTTAGTTGAGCTCCTTTATGAATTCACTAATTTTATTTTTAAATTTGTCTTTTTGAACTTTTTGGGGGGTAAAATTGTGTAATTGGCTGCTTGGTCCATCACACCAACAGTTGATACATTTTAGAAAGAAATGTTTGTTGTGTTAGTTACAAAAAAGACAACAACAGAACCCCCCACAACAACATGTGATCAGAACCTTTGCAGTAAGGCGACAGTGTTGACTACAACAGCCTCCCACCTTCATGCCAACTGCATGTTTTGTGAAACACTGCCACAGATACTGATTACAAATACACTCATTGGACATTACATTAGGTACACCTGTATAGTGTTGGGTTGGACCCTCTGTTGTTTTCTTAAATGCTGCAATTTCTATAATCAGGAAGGTGATGGAAACATTCCACAGAGATTTGCTCCACAGTGATATGACAACATGTTCAAGAAACCAGTTTGTCGCGATTTGAGCTTTATGACATGACGTGTTATCCTGCTGGAGGCAGCTATCAGAATGACTGTGGTCATAAATGGATTCACATAGTCAGCACCAATACTCAGGTATGTATTTGCTTTTAAATAAAGTTGATAATACAAAAACCCAAGGTGAGCCAAGAAAATATCCACACCATTACACCGGCACCAGCAGCCTGAACCATCAATACCAGGCAGGTCATGCTTTCATGCTGTGTGTACCAAATTCTGACCCTTACATCCAAACGTAGCAGCAGAAATGAAGTCTCATCAGACGTTATGCATTGTAAAAGTGATAACAGACAGTAACTAGTTCTTTTTGCTCTTACCTGATGAAGACTTCCTAGCTTTGGATTTCTCGTACAAAGACTTTTTCATTCTTCCCAAGCTTCCCCTCACGGCCTTCTTTGGACTTGGATTCTGAGGAAATGACATGAAGAAAAAGATGCAAAGTTAGAATATAGCCCATATTTGCCACTGCTGCTCAAAGCTCTGTGCTAATGCTAGTCCATACCCAGCTGGAGTCTTCATCCACATCCTCCTCATCAGATGAAAGCACTCGCCTGCTCTTCTGTGGGGCGGGGCCAGAGCTCTGGAACAAATCATTATTTTCAGCACATCTGACATCTCAACTCAATTATTTTTTATTTGAAAGGCTTTATGACCACACAAGAGCTCCTCACCTGTGACTGACTGTCACTGGATCTTCCACTAGCAGACTCACTTTTTCTCTTCTTGTCCTCCGTCCTTTGCTGATTATTCACAGGCCTAGTGGGACACGGACAGGCACACGCACAGATAAATAAACCAATAGGGATATAACATAAAAGTCAGTCACTTCAGCCTCATTACTCAGACAGTCAAGTTCAAGTTGTTTGTTTAAGTTCTTCCAGAGGGGGAGGGGGGCAGCTTCTGTACTCACAGTCATAAATATTTGGGTAAGTAGAAAGGAGCTTCTAGAGCTTTGAGGGGTTTGTGTGTCATCACACTCTTTGTACATGGCCTCACCTTGCACTTCTCCTCTTGGCAGGCTTCTTCCCAATTAAACGCTTCTGTATGGCTTTAGGAGCAGGCTGACTGTCCTTCTCTGGGACAGATTTATGTACCTCCACATGTGGCTTTGCATGTTCATCTGCAGTGGCTTCCTTCTCAGGGCTAACCGGTGCATACAGGAGGTTTAAAAAAAAAGAAAAAGTCAGCACTCACGTCACAATAAACTAGTAAGTGCACATTAACTATACCTTACCTGGTTTGGCCCTTCTCACCAGCACTTCTCCTGCCCCTCTCTACCTTCTTTTCTTCCTTCCTATTCTCTCGACCTTCCTCTGCCACCTTCCTCTTTACAGCAGCTCCACGCTGTCCGCCGTTGGCCTTTCCTGGGTTTTCTGGTCTGTTCTGTTCTTCTTCAGGCACATTTAAATCTTCTTCCATGGCGGTACTGTGCAGAGGGTTTCCTGGGCAACACAAGCATTATGTGGTCAGCCAAAGTTCCTTAGGAGCAGAAAATGTATAACAACACATGACAAAGGTACTCAGATTCAATAGTCTTACCATAATTTGGCTGCAACCCTGCCAGGAAGCTAGCTTTGTCTATAGAGGACAGGTTGGTGGAATCCATTTGATCAAAAGCTGACGTTTTCTAAATTTGAGCAAAACAAAGTGGAATAAAAGTATAATTAGGTGCTTTAAAAGTTGCCCCACAACAACTATCTTTACGTGTTTTTCCTCAACAAAATCAATGCAGCAAACAAAAGAAGGACCAATCGATCTGATCACACTGAACCAGTCATGGATGAACTTACTTCGCTCTCCACTGGAGGCGCTGCCGGCACTCTGGTTCCCCGTCGCTTTTTGGCACTGCATAAACAAAAGGCCATATGTTATTAACTGGCTCTGGATGCTGGGCTTGTTCCCCATGCTCCTACCAGCCTGGTTAAAGAACGCAAGGCTGTGGTGGAATTCTTATTTTCTATCCAAGTACCTGGATAGACCCAGGTGAGGCTATATCGATAACGAGAGCCGGTTATATTCTCAAAATACTAAAAGGAAAGTGCTTCCATGATTACCTCCTTTAGCAGAGCACTGTCACTTATGTTAAAAGAGCAGATAGGCTGTCCCACACTTTACAGTGACACACCACCCAACCATTCAAGACAAACCATCACTCGACAAGTGGCTCACATCGTGTAAATGCTCATCAGGGTTTCCTATTTCATGCCACAGTCAGCTGATATATTTTAAACCTTCCACGGGCTACGTTACACCCACATGTGAAATGAAAACATTGTGCCAGTGCCGAAATGTGCTTCTTATTAAGAGGCCGGCTCTTGTGCCGAATGTAGATTAAAAAAATAAGAGCTTATCTGCTACATTTAATGTTTCTTTTTTTTATTGGATGTGGGCAAGCCCAGAGAGATGGTAATCAACATCAGAAAGAAGAGGGCGGCCATACATGAGAACTGGCTGTACATATGAGACAGGCTCTGGCTCTGTGAATGGCTCCAAACGAAACACTTTTGAAGCGGTGACCGCCATCACGGAACAGATACATACCACTAGTTGTCACACTCTATAACACAAGCGTGTTTCTCTTTTCGTTATTTATATCGACAGTATAACTTCCCTCACTGACATCATGCTAACAGCAGCAGGTCAACGAAAAGTTTCTTTTAGCAAACAAGGTGTTCCGGTATGTATAAAGAAATATTTCTTAAAGTGTTGAAATGTTAGAAGTCAAAACGGAAAGTTCTCACCTCATTACGAACAACTGTAGGTTTAGTACGTTATATAAGCTGTTCGTCGGAGGAACTCAAACAGCTTCCCGCTGCTGCTCCCGCAAAATAGTTCAAGTTCCGGACTGTACCATTCCAGTCACACAGGGTGGAAAATAATACAATAAAAATGTACAAGTGGGGGTTATATAGATAAAATAACTGCATTCGAGACTCAACTTTAACTTTGCCTTAAGTTGCTTTAAATTCGCTATATTCGAAAGAATGTTTACAGTGAAAATAAAAAAGCCAACCCCACAGCGGATTTGAACTTTCCTTATTTCTACGGAATGCGAAAAAGACCATAAAGAACTTTTTTCGAACACAAATCAGTGACTGATGTCAATACAAAAACAAATGCGACTGATTAAAAATAACAAAAAGAAATGAGAATCTTTCAAGTTTGTGCATTAGTGAAGCAATGTACAAACATTACACCATTTTTTAATCAAATATTTTACAAAATGTGACATTAAAAACAATTATAATACAAATTAATGTTATTTTTCCTTGTTATCTAAATAATGCATTATTACAAAAACCGATTCATTCGCCAAATCTTTTCCCTTCCTGAACCTACTATAAAGTAATTAAACATTAACAAAGCTTTCCCTCTGTGTCTGCCCTGTATGTTCCTGAGTAACTTCCCTGTGTACAGTAAGCTAACATTGAATTGTTTCATCTGTTGATCCCACTAGACAAGTCCTGACTGCAACTAAATTAATTCATGCAGACAATGAAGGAACCAAGTGAAACAATATTGCTGTTAAAAATTTCAACACTAAAACAAAATCATGACATCAAACTGTCTCATCAATGCCAGTGAACCATTCTGTGTGAGAATGATGGAAAACGAAAGTGCACAATGTGTGTTTGCTTTTTGCAGGCCTGAGATTTGTGATGTGACAAAGGTGAAGTACCAACAAAAACAGCTTCTTCAGACTCAGCACCTTATCAGCATCATCATCATTAATATTTAAATATCAAAGACTAATCAATTCCATCAACAGTTAAAATCGACTTTCTGTCTTGCGTACCACAGATCCTGTAGTCAAATTATTTTTGTGTTCTGTTGAGCACGACAATCATGTTGTTTGGCCGTGAGAACTAAAGCGAGTCCTCAGGGTTTGTACTGTAGTGTCCTTGTCTTTGTCTATGTCCATAAAATCACATTACTGATTTGATAAGCACCATTGTGTGTGTGAAAGTAGTTGTTACTTTTAATTAATCCAGGTAATAAAAAGATAACCTGCTTTGTAGGCATGATGATGGCCTATGATGATGGCCTCAGAGGGTCTCATTCATTTGCTTTCTGCTATTTTTTCCCCTTTTAATTGAATCTAAAGCACCATTAGAGGAGCTGACGCCTATTCTTCCCTCCCGCTCTCCACTTGTCCTTCTACATTTTGATCCCAGCATATAACTCGTCGATCTGGGATCTGAAGTACTGGCGCAGTTCGTTCCTCTTGGCCTTCATTGTTGGAGTGAGCAGGTCGTTCTCGATGGAGAACAGCTCGGTGTGAATGCAGATGGCTTTTACCTAAAGAACAGACATGTGGCCAGGTGGTGTTAGTGACAATAATAATATTACTTCTAATATTTGATGGAAAAACAATTCAAAGTATACAGAAATACTTCAACTACGACTGAGTGCTGTACCTGCTCAAAGGACTTGAGGCCTCCTGCCTTGCCCAGCCTCAGCATGTCTTCCAAGATGGCTGCTTTAACTTCCTAAATACAGAAGAATGAAAAAATTCTCAATATATTACTCAATATTAACATTGTTAAGCTGCTGAACACTGGCCTATGAGTCATTGAACCATAAACAGAAACTTAAACAACAGACGAACCAATGTTGTGTGTACACATAATAATTAGACATCAGATTTTGCTTTATAAACTGTTTATCAGTTTATATTTGCACATATTTCAATAAATTGCTCCACCTATTTCACCTGCAGCAAAAATATAAAGAAATAAGGGATGGCTCAAGATTTTTGTGCAAGCTTTTTGAATCCATTACCGCTCTGCCACATAGTTCCAGGTAGCTGCCCTGCAATCCCAGCGTCCTTCTGGTCCAGTCAGACAGGAAGTCGGGGTCAGGAACCACCACTGCTACCAGACACGCCTGGAGGCAAACAACATGTAAATGTATCTCATTCAAAGTGGACTTTGTTCTAAAGAAACTTAAAGTTTTAAAGAGAGGACCTACCTGCAGACTGTCTCCATGCACAAATACCTGCGCCACCGCATCACTCCTCATGTAGATGTTCTCTATCTTCTCAGGAGCAATGTACTCGCCCTGTGCCAGCTTAAAGATGTGCTTCTTTCTGTCCACGATCTTCAGGGTGCCATTCTGTAAACAAACACGCGCACACACTGAATCCAGGTGTGGCCACAGACCACATATTTATTGAGCTTAATGTAATGAACAGATGAAGAACCCACCGGAAGCCATTTCCCAATGTCTCCCGTGTGGACCCACCCATCTGCATCGATGGTCTCTGCTGTTCTCTCTGGGTCATTTAGATAGCCTTGGAATACGTTGGCGCCCTTCACGCACACCTGGAACACATATGCGCACGTGACTAGTGTGAATGACTGAAACAACTATGGAGGTTAAGTAAGCTATATGTGCTGATGTCTGCTTTTTGTTTTTACCTCTCCCTCTCCATTTTCAGCCAGGTAGTTCATCTCGGGTACATCCACCAGTTTAACTGTGTTACAGGGCAGAGGCGCTCCAACGTGACCTGTTGAGATGAAGTCAGTTTGAGGTCATCTTCAGATCAGTAATCATTTTATCACTTTTACATAGTTGGCTAAAGTAGGTTAAGTAGGGTTGGTTAAGTTCTGCAGCTTTGTTATGTGCTACCTGCAGTGCAGTCTCCAGGCATGGTCACTGTGCAACCTGCAGTGCACTCGGTTTGTCCATAGCCTTCATAGAACTGAGACAGAGCACAAACCACAATTATTATTATAACCGTTAATGATGCTGCTGCTACAGACAGAATTATGCAACATGGAAAATGACAAAAGGAGGGCGGGGTGGATCATCCCAGAGGACATTACTGTGATGTCACATATTACGAAAGTAAAACAACACAGTATAACAGTAGATTACATTCAGCAATTGTGTGTGTGTGTTACCTGACAGCCTAGTGCAGCTCTGAGGAAGGTGAGAACAGCTGGAGATATGGGAGCAGCTCCTGTTATCATGAGACGCACACAGCCACCAAGACTGGCCTGCAGAGGGCAGCACATCACATTATTTACTTCACAGCTGTTCAACTGCATCCCAAACAAACTCACTCAGACATTGTTAATGCTCTGATGCTACAGTGTTTTTGTATCGTCATTGTTTGCTCTGTTTTCCATTTTCCTGGAATGGAAATTTTCCTTTTAATAATGTGGATCCCCAGGTAACGAGTAGGTTGGTATTTGTTTTTTTTATTTTTTTCACTGTTGTTTAAAATAATAAACTGTATATATTCATGGACAATTAGTCATTTTGTCATAACAGCAGCTGACAAAATAGTATTAAAATAAAAGTGGTGCTGGCTCTGAATACCTGAACCCTGTTGAAGATGAGCTTATCCCATATACTGTCTTTCCTGATGATGCCTTTCATGATCTCAGAATGCTTCCTCTTGAAGGCAAATTCCAGCAGCCAGCGCTTCCAGGGTGAGTTGGCCAGACCGAAGATCTACACCAGAAGAATTACCAGGATTAAACAGAACAACATCAGTAAAGCTTACGATCAGCACTGCATTTATGCAAAATCGTATCTTTATAAGATATCATAGCACACAAATGAGCAGAAAGCTTACACTTCTTCATACCTTATCATACATTCTGTTTAAGAGTCGTGGAACCACGGCGAACACAGTAGGCTTCAGCGCCTTCATGTCATCTGACAGTCGACGAATATCTCCCTGGAAATAACCAATCCTGGCTCCGTGCATCAACATGACTCCCTACCAGACAGGGAGAGGAAATTTGGGACAATGTTATTAAAAGGAGCCTGACACAGCAGGCTGGAAGGAATCCTCATTGATTTTTAACGACAGGTGGAACAAACCTGCACGACCCTCTCAAACATGTGAGCCAGGGGCAGATAGGACAAATGGATATCATTGGGAAGCACTGGACAGGTGGTCTAAAACAAACACACACAGCAAGCAATCAACACAAAGACAAACACACATGCACAAAGACAGAGAGGGAAAGCATTAACCTTCGTAATCCCACCGCCCTCCCCAGCATGTAGGACAGATGCAGAAAAGACAGCAAGCTTCTTCTGAAGCGGTCTGAACGTACGACTGGAGAGAAGAGAGATGAGACCATTAAAGGTCTTAGTGAGCTGTGTTTTCTCTGTCTTCCCTTCAGCATTTTTCTTGTCCTTCTCCTTCCTGAAGCTGCATTGACACTAGAAATGATGTGCAGTGATGTGGGGACAGGGTAGAATAAAAATTAAGGCTTTTTGGTGACTTTGAGTATCTACGGGTGAACAAACTCCTGGTGATGAAAAGTGGGCAGTACCCACAATCAATAAAGTCTCAACTTCCAGGCAAGCACCTGAGGAAACTACTAGACTGACATACAATACGTTAGAGCTGGGGAGTCAAACATAAGGCCCGGGGGCCAAATTGGTCCAACAAAGACTGCAATCTTTGGACATACATTTTACACTTTTTGTTATATTTTCATAAGTTTTACAGTTTTTTCTACTGATAAAGAGACAATTCATATAACATCAAAGTAACAGACAAACAAATGTTTTCTTTAACTACTATAGAAACTTTAGTTTTCTACATTGAGTCCGTAGTAATTATGAAATGTTTTCTGTAATTTTGCACATTTATTTATTTACAATTTAAGCCCTAAGAGTCACAGTGACAGATTACTTTCATTTACTAGAAAAACATTTTCTTGTTATGCAGAAAAACTTTTAGTTTTTACATTTCACGTTAACATATCTCAGGGATTAAGTGTGGAGTTACTACTTTATATTAAATGAAAGGAGCATTTCACAGGTCCAGCCCACTCAAGATCAAAGTGGGCTGTATGTGACTCACAATGAGTCTGACATCCCTAAGTTAGAGGGTCACCACAAGGTCTCAAACGACCAGCTTCAAAGAGATGTGTGATGAGCAAATAGAGAGATGGCCTATGATTACATCAGCACCTCACCTCTGTGACCTTGATGACAGCTGAGCAGTTGCAGACGATATTCCCATGTGTCAACATAGCTCCCTTTGGTTTTCCTGAAAGTGCGTACAGGAGACATGGCAAATATTTTAGCTAACGCATATCAGAGTGGCTGCATGTCACTGTGAGTCTGTGGATGTGTCACCTGTTGTTCCACTGGTAAAGCAGATGACTGCCATGTCCTTGGGCTGAGGAGGCTGAAGAGATGGAGGTAAAAATGGATCAGACAGCATCCTCAATATTTAGAGACAGTCTAACAGGCCTGTGTTTACATACCAGTGGTTCCTGGTGGTTGGCCTTCCCTATGGCCTGTGCAACAAGAAAAGCAGGTTAACTAACAGATCTGAGAATACAGAGATAAAAGGAAATGATGACAACTGAGACAAAACAACAGGAAACGTAGGCAGAAGAAGTAACCATCTAAGAAACAAATGAAAGTGAAAACAGGCCAAATAAACACAAAGCAGCAAGGACAGCAAAACTAAACTATTTGCCTACTTCCTGGATTATTAGCTTTTTGCACATCTGTCACACTGAAATGTTTCAGATTACTAGAAAAATTTTAAATTTTTTTTAAATTTAATTTTACACAAAGATAATCAGAGTAAACTTTTCATTTAGTAAAGATGAAAAGCTATCAAAGCCAGTTTGGCTCTGTGTAAAAGCTGTTAACTGGTTGTGAAACCCTCGTATTTGTGATAACCGATAAATCTGAGACGAGCCTGTTCTTTTTGGTCAGCAGTGATTTTCTCCTTGTAACTCTCCCATGATGTCATCTCTTTTCTTATTGTTGAATCATGAACTTTGACCTTACTGAGATAAGTGAGGCTTGCAGTTCTTTAGATGTAGTTTTATTTTTCCGTTACCTCCTCGATGTGTCATTGATGCAATCTAGGAGTAAATCTGATTATGTGCCCAATCCAGGGATGGTTCACTTGAACGCTTCTAGTTTGATCCATTTGTGGTCACCGGCTCGCCCTTAGAACTGCATTTGTAACAACTTTGTAACTGATAGATGTCAAGGACTTTGTTTCCTTTTGGTCTTTTAAACTTTATTTCTTTTAACCTACTTCACTTTGTTAGACAGGTTTAGCATTCCAGTGATTTCATGAGTCAGAAGGTTTGACAGTAATCAAATAAAATTAAACTCAACTTTCTGAAAATGTGGTTAATGGCATTTAATTCATGGTTTAAAAAAGGGGGGATCAATAACTTCACACATAGAAGGTCTGGGTAGCTTTTTTTCCTTGAATAAATGAAGTTTATCTTTTAAAAGACTGCATTGTGTATTTAAACCTCCCACTGTCACAGCTGGACACAGGGAGGTGTTTAGTTCAGTATACACATGGTATTTGGGTCAGATCACATTTAAGTGAATTGCTCTGGAGTTCATTTGGACTCGCACAGAGACCACCTCCTCCAAAGCGTCTCATTGTGGTGGTTCTGGTCTGCACCAGAGTGTGATTACTGTGCTCATATCTGTCCAAGCGAACCACACCAGTGACACGGATTGAAAGGTGGGGAGCGTCCCCTTTAATTGACAGCAGACCCCTGCTAGGTTGGATAGGTTTTCTTTCCACCTTAATAAATGAAGTCATCGTTTAAAACTGCATTTTGTATTTACTCTTGCCTTTGTCTAATATTCCAATTTGTTTAATGATCCGAAAGATTTGAAAGTGTGAGAAATATATGAAAAATAGAAAATCAGGAAGGAATTGAGTACTTTTACAGCACTGCACAAAAACAGAAAACAAAGGAGAAGCTGTTGAAGGAAAATAATAAAATTTATTAAAGGTAAAAGCAGAAGAATGAAACAAACACACACAAAAGACAAAGAAATTACGATAAATAATAATAATAATAATAATTAATTAAAAAAAAAGAAAAAGCCCTTCTGACCATCATCTCCTGCAGGCTGAGGATGTGGATTCCAGCCTGCTGTCCCCGTTCGATCAGGCTGGTGTTTGGGCTCTCCATTAGAACAATGGTTCTCACACTGTGTTTCGTGTTGTTAATGCAGTCCAGCACTAGATTGACTTTATCTGTCACATCACACACTATAGTTGAGATAGAAGCTGCAAAAACAAATAGCAAATAATCAGCTGAACGTCTTCAGAAAAACCTCTGCCATGTATCCAAGTCACCGTTGTTTACCTTTGTCTATAATATAGCCGATGGCCTCCGTTCCCAGCGTGTCATACAGAGGGACTGACACCAGAGAATAGGTGTAACACGCCAGCTCACTGATGGTCCACTACACACACAAACATTACAAGATTAAGTTTGATAATGACTCCGTCGTCAAAAAGCAGCACATTCAGGTTCATCTTAGCACTGAAGTAATGAGGCTGTGAGATCATAGAGCAGCTGCTTGTTAAAGTAAAGACTAAAACCGTGAAAGTGTGCGATTATGTAAGTAAGTAAGTAAGTAAGTAAAATTTATTTATATAGCGCTTTTCACAGATAAAAATCACAAAGTGCTTTACAACACAGGAAATGGGAATATAAAAACAATATAACAGTAAATAAAACAATGTAAAACAATAAAACTATAAAAACAGCATAAGAAGAAATTAATCAAATGCTTTTCTAAATAAAAATGTCTTCAGCTGTTTCTTAAAAGAATCAATGGAGTCCGTGCAGCGAAAAGACAGTGGGAGTGAATTCCACAACCGTGGTGCCACAGTCTGAAAGGCCCGATCACCACGAGTTTTAAAACGAGTGCGCGGTACCACCAGCAGTCTCTGATCTAATGACCTTAAAGCCCGAGAAGATGTATGTGGTTTCAGCAGGTCAGATAAATATTGAGGAGCTTG